TTTTTTTTTTTTTTTTTTTTTTAATTGAAAATGGAAAAAGAAAATGAGGATTTATAAAATGGGAGTTGGAGGGGACTTTGACGATGTCGTATTGACGTTCTTGGCGCTAACGATGAGCTGGCGCAGGCCGGCCAGTGGAAGTGTAATTAATTAATTTTTTAAATTATTATTATTATTATTTCTTTAGAAAATATTATATTTACGTATTATTTGCTTGGTATTAATTATCTTACCTGCACTCTTCATTGTTAAAGAATGTAAAATATAATTTTTTATTTATTAAATGTATTTATATTAAAAGGTATTTCCAAGTGTAATTACTTTATTTTTTTAATTATTATTTTTTGTTTTGGTAGGAACGTAGGAGTCATCATAATTCAGTGGGAGAGATCGAGGGGAATGAGATTTGCCCATAAGCTATAGAAGCGAGTTGGATGGACATGAGCTAAAGTGAAATGATCGGGCCCATTTCCTCTTATGCCCACTTGATACCCTACCCGAAGGGTACACCTAACCAGTATGGATATTAATTAGAGCAAGTCACATGTTTTCTACTGACGAAGAACACAATACGAGCATTGAAACGTGTCAGGTATAACTCTACACCAATATGCAATTTTATCGCACGATTCGAATAAGTCATTCGACCATTTTTATTGAACATACGATCAAATTCTCGATATTTTATCAATTAAATTCAAACATAAATTGGGTCCATTGTGGCCGTGTTTTAAAAGTTGATTTTTATACATTTAAAAAAAAAAATCTCGTGAGAGTGTTATAAAAAGTGGGGATTTGTGGCCAAGAAAAAAATCCACGTGGCAAAATACAAGGTGTTTTCCTGCTGCTATCTGCCCGTGAAGTCGCTGGCTACTGGGAGTACCCTTCACCGAGACATCAAACTTTATAATATCCACGTGGCACTAGCAGCCTTCTAAAATTAAAATTATAAATTTAGCCTATATAATATATATATATAATGATAAGAATTTAAAATTTGAAAATTAATAATTGTAATTTGATAAATATTTTTAGAAAAATATTTTAAATTGGAATATTTAAAATAATTGTAATATTTAAAAACTATAATTATAATTATAATATTATAGAATATTTCATAATGCTTTAAAAAATTGTACAAATATATTGAATAAAATTTTTAGAAGTTAATTAATTTATTAAATATAAAATTAATTTTATGGGTAATAGAATTGTAAATTTTAAATTTATTATATAGTAAATTAGAAACAAAATTGAAAATTTGATGAGCTCAATTAATACAAAATTTAATTACATTTTTAATATTTAGAGACCTAAAAATTAAAATGAAATATTTGAAAATTATAAAAATACAGAAAGAAAAAAAAAGAAATAGAAAAGTAATACGCCAAGTGGCGATTGAAGCAACCAGGGAAGCCGGTTGGCGGTAACCTTTCCCACAAGGCAGAACTCTGCACCTTCCTTTCTCTTCAGTCCTCACTACCTAAAAGCTTCCCTCCATTTCCTCACAGATATCCCGACGCCGTCCTCTCCTTATTAATTCACTTTCCATTCTCAAATCTCTCCTCCATTTCCGCCATGGATTCCGGCGACGCAAACCTCCCTCTCCTTCTCCAACATTCATATTGCCGATCAAAATCCCTAACCTCCGACGAGCTTCGCAACTTCCGAATCAGTCTCAAATGGTGCGCTCTCGACCACTCCTCCGCCGCTGGAAAGTTCGTCTCCTACTTCGCCTTCGTTATCCTCACCGTTGTTGTTCCAATCGTGACGATCGTCTCCGTCCGAGATCCAGCCGATGATCCGATCTCTCTTAACAAACTCGTTCAGGTTCCGGAATCCGGCCTGGCCGCGATCGGATTCTTCTCTCTGTGCCGATTCTTCCGCCGGTACGGCCTCCGGCAACTTCTTTTCCTCGATGGATTGCAAGAAGATTCTCTTTACGTTCAGCGAGGCTATGCGCGTGAACTCGACAAGGCGTTCCGTTACCTCGCGTACGTTCTTTTCCCGTCGTTCTTCTTTGAGTTGGCCCACAAGATCATATTCTTCTCAACCGTTAAGATCTCGTTTCCGTAAGTTTAATTTATTGCTTAATTACTTTTAAGACCTTTTTTTCTCAATTTTTTTTAAGGTTAAAATGTTTATATTAATGTCAAATTAATCTGGATGATTATGAACTAATAAGTTTAAATTTGTGTTTCCATTCATTCATCTTTGGCAACTACGCTTGGCATCGATCTCCAACGACCATCTCAACCGACCATATTGAAGAGATAGTTGACTGTAGTTGAAAGAAGTGTCGATGGAGATAGTTGCCAACTGAGTATAAGAGTATTTTGGTCATTTTTTAAGTAACGTGACTTTGCTCTTGAACTCTGTTTTTAAATAACTAATCAAAATATGTCTTAAATTTCGTAAAATATATTTATGAACTTCCATTTATTAATTTTTTTTTCTTATTTTTATCACCAATGATCATCAATAGAGGTGGGTTTCCCATAAACTCGATACTATTCATGTTCGTGTTAACATCGTGGGTATATCGAACTGGGGTGTTCTTGCTCGTGTGCGTATTATTTCGGCTCACATGCGAGTTGCAGATTCTAAGGCTACAAGGAGTGAACAAGTTGTTTGAAACAAGCAATGGGTCAGGATCAGACGCTATAGTGATCTTCAACGAACATTTGAGGATCAGAAAACAATTGTGGGTTACAAGTCATCGGTATCGATTCTTCATAATTGTGTGCTTGTTCATCATCACCGTTAGTCAGTTCGTTGCGTTGCTATTGGTTTTGACCTCTAAAACTGAGAAGAACTTCTTCAACTCGGGTGATATTGTGGTACGCTCAAATTTTTATCTTGATGAACTTCTAAATCGTAAATTTAGAGATTTTCTTTTCTTTATTAAACTTCTCCGGTAACTCCTAAATTAAAATATGACACGTAATTGTATGATATTTTATTCAACAAATATTATTATTATTTATTTTTGTATAAAAATATCTTCAAAATTTTAAATTTTAATTAATACTTCTATTTATTTATTTTTTTAATTTTAAAGGTATTATTGATTTTTTTTTAATTTAATTTTATAATGAAATTGGGACTTTCAGGTTTGCTCGACGGTTCAACTATGCGGATTCTTCCTGTGCGTAGTCGGAGCGGCAAGAATTACTCACAGAGCTCAAGCAATCGCGTCGGTTGCAACCAGATGGCACATGCTCGTTACCTCCGCCGCGGCCGGATTCAACCACACAAAACCTCCGGCGCCGTCGCCGCCGACCGTCGACAACGACGGCGACGACACCGATTCCGACTCATCGTCGGAGGTTCTAATTTCATTAAGCACACAGGAGCCTTCTTCCTTCCAAACCAGACAAGCTTTAGGTTAGTAAAATTTGCACCAATTTTGTCGCAATTCAAAGCGTTCGTAATAATTAACGGCGTGATTTTGGCGCAGTATCGTATTTGCAGCACAACAATGGCGGAATTACTCTGTTCGGATTCGCATTGGATCGCGGATTACTTCATACGCTCTTCGCTTTCGAATTCTCTCTAGTCATGTGGATTATGAGTAAGGTCGTCGTTTTATCTTAAACAAATACACGCAATTAAATATTTTTAAAAAAATTTATTGCCTTTTTTATTTCGTCTTAATAAATCGATGGTACTGCCAAGAAGCATATTAGTGTTAATTAAAATAAAATTATTTTTTGTTTGGGTTTCAAACACTAACTCTACTGTAATATTATCCACCACTTTAAGTATAAGCTCTCATGATTTTTGTTCGTATAAATAAATGAGAGATGCATGAACGAATCGATACCACATTTAACTTAAACGAGTCTCGATTGATAATTACTACTTATTTTATGAATACATTAATAAAAATTTTAATATCAAATTAATAATCAAGTTGGTCTAAATATATTGACATATATTCAATTCCGTATCGTTTAACTAACATAGCTCAATTGACTATTAATTTTATATTATTGACTAAAATGTTAGAAGTTCATGTCTACACTTTTACATGTTAAAATAAGAATAAAGTTTTTTAAATATTATGGGGTTCGTGGATTGGGTTGAGACATTTTTTAGACCTAACTTCATTGTTAGGATGGGTTCATTTATTTTTAAATATTTAATTAAATTTTGAAACTCAAATTTAAATATATATTTTAAAAAATAATATTTTAAATATTTTAAATATATTTTAAGAGTTAATTTGGAAAACTTTAAAAAAATATAGTTAATAATACATTTCAAAAATATTAATGAATTTTAGAAAATAATTTTTAAAAACAGGCCATCTTAATACTCAATTTTTAAAAAAATTATTTATAAATATTAAAAGTACTAATATTATCTCTATTTTTTTACGCGTATTATTGTTTTTAAATTTTTTTAAAATTTGAAAGTATTTTTAAGACATTATTAAAAGTAACCATTTTCATTAACTATATTTTAAAGATTTTTTGTTTTAAAAAGTTCAGAAAATTTTAAAAATTTATGAGTATTTTTTTTAAGATAAAAACCAATGTATATTTGGATGTTATTATTATTATTATTTTTAGGAAAATAAAAATTCATCAAAATATATGAATGCATAACAAAAGGTCATGCACATGCATGAAAGTGAGCGGCCATCCATGGCGCCATAGGTTTCCGTTTCGGGACACATCAGCTATAAATTTCTCGTCTTCTTCAAGCTCAAACCGCCCAGATTCAGAGCAGAACAACGACGACGACGACGACGACGACGACGAACAGGGCAGAGAGAAACGCCCTAATTTTTATTCTTTTCAGCTAAACGAAAATTCGTTTAGCCTTTTCGTTTCTCTCTTGCTTCTGTAATTTTCGTTTCGGCGCTCTCTCAAGCGGATCATAGGAATTCTCTTGTTTAAATTTGTCGGTATTCTTGTAAGAATCCATTCCATTTTTTTCTTCTACGTTTGCGTTTTTCAAGTCGAATGATTTAACTATTCCGCATGAATCTACTTTTGCTGCTTTTGATGTGGAATTGACTATTCCGCTGTCTCTCGTTTCTTTTCGATTTTATTCTGGCGAGAAAGGAATTCGAGTGATTGAGGAGTTTATGTTTACATACGAATGAATTTTTTGATTTCTTCGAGCGATGACTAAATTAATAGAACAGAGGACGAAGTGATGGATATGCATTCATTGGCCTTAGTTGATTAATTTTAGGGGATATTGTTCTTGCAGATATCGATTCAATCATGGTTCTTTGGGTTTTTGGCTATGGATCTCTTGTGTGGAATCCAGGATTTGACTTTGACGAGAGAGTGATAGGTTTTATTAGAGATTATAGGCGTGTATTCGACCTTGGTAAATTTCTTCCTCAACATTCCAATTCGTTAATGGAAACTAAAGTTTTTCTAATATTTAATTTCCCATTGCACAGCTTGTTTTGATCATAGAGGTACACCACAAAACCCTGCTAGAACTCTCACGCTGGAACCCAAAGAAGGATCCATTTGCGTAAGTTTTGAGCAACTATCAATGTTCATTCATTTGCATTTCCATGACTGATACAAATTTCATTTTCTGTAGTAGCAAATCTTTGTAACCTTGCCTGATTAGCATTCTTTCTCTCTATCAGTGGGGTGTTGCATATTGCATCCATGGAGGATCTGAAAGAGAGAGAGCTGCTATGGAGGTACTGGAAACCCGATTCTGTTCCCAGTTGAGGATTTTTTTAGAGAGAGTCCCACATGGGCTAATTTAAGAATGAGTTTATACATAAGGAATACACAGTAAATCCATGAGAGCTTATGCTCAAAGTAGACAATATCATACTATTATGGAGAGTCGTGGTTTCTAACTTTTCCTACGGTTTTTGTTCTTGTCTGCAATGTAGTGCCTAGAGAGAAGAGAGTGCGAGTATGATGGAAAGACCATTGTAAACTTTTACAAGGTAAGGATTTGCTTCGTTATTAGGTGTGTTTCTGTTCATCATTTTGAATCCATTTCCATTGTTGATTCAGGATAAAGACTCCATAGAGCCAACATTGACAGGAGTTTTAGTGTAAGCTTCTCGATGGATTTTTCTTCTTAAACATCTGATTTGTTCTAAATCTTAATTGGGATAAGTTGAAAAAGAGCATCTCTGTTCTTGATCTGATTAAGTTTTGCATTCATGAATGCAGTTTTACATCTACACTTGATAAATTGCTAAACAAATACTATCTAGGACATGCTACCTTGGAGGAAATGGCTTGGTAATGGCAGGCTTACCATTTGGCTTTCATTGTTCTTATTGCATCCCTGAAATGGGTTCATTCTAAATCTTTCATTTACTAAATTTTCAGCCAAATTGCAACTGCATCTGGTCCATGTGGGAACAACAGAGAATATCTATTCCGATTGGAGAACGCCTTGTTTGAAATCGGTAACTGTCTAGCTCTTCGTCCAAAATTGAAATCTGATGTGATTGTATGAACTAAATTTGAGTTGATATTAACTATACACATCTCTTATCAGGTCACGAAGACGATATGGTGATCGAGCTAGCGAACGAGGTGAGAAATATCCTTGGGAAGAAGGTTAGAAAGGGGAAGAAGAAGCAGGCGGTCAGACCGACGACTCACCTGCCTTTTTTGTCCTTCATCTCCGGTGTTCAGGTGCATCCGCTCGCCGACGCTGCGGTGGCGATGGATTCTTGTGAAGAAAATGGAAAGATTGGTATGGTGAAAGGTGAAAGCCATGGTAACTCAAGAGCTAAGAAAACAAGCAATCTGGATTGATGATTGCCACTGTTCTTTTCCCATTAGGTTGATTAGTGAAATTTTGGGGATGTTCTTATTGGATTCATGTTTCTGATCTAACCCCAAATAGAAAGTTGTTGGAAGTTCTTTTCACACTTTTCACGTCCTCCATTAATGGAACTTCTTCACCATTTGGAATTACTTAGGGCATTAGGTTGATTTCATGTTGTTGGGTTAATGGCAACATGTTTACACATATTGCTTCCATATTAAACATTTATTTAAAGAAAGTATCGTTCACAGATGTTATTTTTAATGTATTTTAAGACTTTTATTTATGAGTTTAAAAAAAAGAAAAAAAAAAAAATATATATATATATATATATATATAAAATGATATAAAAATCACTTTGATACCCGTTTATTTGTCTCATTCTAGGCAATTAACCCAGGTATATCCCCATGGGCTGCCGTAAAGCCCAAACCAAAACTATACCCAATTAATAGAATTTGGGCTTTGATTGAAGCTCAATTTGTTAGTTCGTTTGGGCTTTGGTTCAGGCCCAAAACAAAACGAGCAAAGACTTGAGGGAAAAATGAAAAAAAGAAAGAAAAATAAAAAAACAACTTGATGGAGAAGTAAGGTCGAAGAACAAAATCCCCCCACAACATCAAAATCCAGTTCTTCTATTCTCCGGCAATCCCTCCTCTTTTACGCTCGTTTCTGAATATTGATCTGGTTTATTTGGATCATCTTCTCACAGCCATGGATCTTAACATGGATCTCAATGCTCCTCACTCCATGGGTACCACCATCATCGGCGTCACTTACAACGGCGGTGTTGTCCTTGGCGCCGATTCTCGTACCAGCACCGGTAAATTTATTGTATTCACTTTCTACCAGTAATTTCTTAGTGTAATGATTTTTTTTTTTTTTTTTTTAATACAAATACTATCTTCAAATGTCCGAAGTGTTAAATGAAACTGGAGGAAAAGTAGTAAGAGTTTGCTGATTCTGGATTTTCTGGTCGTTCGACCTTGGAAGCGAATCACGTTTGGAATCAAGCTTAACTTGGACGTTTTAAGTTTTTACGAGTAGGTGTAATGATTGAAAGAGCTCATTTCAATTGTAGTTTTCCCCCCCTAATTGGCATCTAGCAGTAGTAGTTGTGTGGATTCTGTTCTTGGTGAGATCCTCTTTATAAAAATCTTCTCCATTTTTTTAGAACATTGCATAATTGAAATTTATGCGGGACTTTTCAAGCGTAGCTGTTTAAATTCACGAGCTACGAGCTTTACTAAACACTAATTGTCTGCTTCAGTAAAGAGTATAAAAATTATAATATGTAGTGGAGGCAACAATCGAGCTACACGCTGCAAAAAATTATGAACTGGAGGAAAAAGTAACTTGTAAACAACCGCTACCACATTATGTTAACATTAGTTTTTGAAAAGGAAAAAACAGAAGAGTTTCTAAACTCAACTCCCAAGCAATCTTGAATAACAAAATCACATATTAAGGGAAAAATGGATCTTCGTAGGTTTGTTTGTATCCACCTTTTCTTTATGTGCATTCTTTTTGTGCTGCATGAATATTAACATTTTTTTATTGTTCGTGTGATAGGTGTCTATGTGGCTAATCGTGCATCGGACAAGATTACGAAACTTACTGACAACGTCTATGTTTGTCGATCTGGCTCGGTATTTCCATTTCTATTATTTCCCATATCAAACTGTCCTTTCTGCTAGTCTCTAGTTTTTCTTTCAACCTCGTGTTCTATCATTAAAATGTCTAAATCTCTCAGTTTTTGAGTGTTTGCTCGTGTTCTGTAAATAATTTATTTTATGTCACTTGCAGGCTGCAGATTCTCAAATTGTCTCTGATTATGTGCGTCATTTCCTTCATCAGCATACGTGAGTGGTTTAGT